ATTCTCCTGCCTCAGCCTCCCGAGTAGCTGGGACTGCAGGCACGCACCATCATGCCAAGCTAATTTTTGTATATTTAGTAGAGACGGGGTTTCACCATGTTGACCAGGATGGTCTCGATCTCTTGACCTCGTGATCCACCTGCCTCGGCCTCCCAAAGTGCTGGGATCACAGGCGTGAGCCACCGTGCCCGGCCCGATAATTCATTTTTTAAAAAAATTCTAGGCCAGGTGTGGTGGCTTATGCTTGTAATCCCAGCACTTTGGGAGGCCAAGGCGGGTGGATCACCTGAGGTCAGGAGTTCTAGACCAGCCTGACCAACATGGTGAAACCCCATCTCTACTAAAAATACAAAATTAGCTGAGTGTGGTGGTGCATGACTGTAATCCCAGCTACTTGGGAGGCTGAAGCAAGAGAATCACTTGAATTCAAGAGGTGGAGGTTGTGGTGAGCCGAGATCATGCCATTGCGCTCCAGCCTGAGCAACGAGAGTGAAACTCCATCTAAAAAATAATAATAATAAAAACTCTAGGACTTCCACTAACTAAAGTCTTCCCAAGTAGAAAAATCAATATGACAGAATTCCGTTTAACTTTATTTGTATATCTTCTAGAGCAGTGGTTCTGAAACTTTGTGCCTCAGAAAGGCCTACCTCCAGAGTGTCTGTCAGTAGGTCTGGGTGGGGCCTAGAAATTTGTGTTTTTAAGAAGTTTTCAGGTGATGGAGCTCCTGCTCGTCCAGGAACCACACCTTGGGAACCCCTGCCCTCCAGCACACAGTACAATGCTAGGCACAGAGCAACTACCCCTATATTCTGAACCAAATTCAATTATTTGAACCATAGTGATGGCAGGATAAGATTTGACTCATATAGATTCTTAGGCCAGTATTAACCACGTTTGTGGTTAGTAAAGTGGTTTTAAAAGGGTTTTCCTATGTTATAGTCATAGTTTATAATCTTAAGAACTGCCCTGTCCTGCCTTTCCAGGATATTCTAATCGAGTTGGTGATAAGCTAGTATAAGTATGGTCCTGGGATTTTTATTATAGAAACTTCTTTTGACTTGCAATCTGATGTGACTCAAGGTCACAGATTACCAGACCATGCAATTATTTAGCAGCAGAATTGTCTTGCTGTACCCTTCACCCCTGCAAAGAGTCTTTACCTTTGCTGACCCCAAAAGAAGAGAATTTATACCATAAGACTGACAGTCCTACAGAACTGAGAGTCTTCTATCAATGGCCAGAGGCAACCCTACCTCCTTATTTTCATCCCCTTTTGATAAAGAAGGGATTATTCTCAGCATCCACATACTGGGAAATATTATTGGCATTATTCATGAAACAACAGCTGGGACAGTGACCGCAGGAGTTCTGCTCATAATGACCTGCTTAGTGGGCACCCTTAAAAGATTTACTACATCAGGTTTTTATTAAGGCACCTCTTCCAGGCTATTGTTCTTTTCATAGGCATCACAACGGTTTCCTCAAGCAGTTTTAATGTGGAAATGTGAAAATGTCAAGCATTTCTCCCCCACTCACCACTCCTCTCTTTCTTTTCCCAGGTTGTGATGAATAACTTAAGCCCAGCCTGGAAATCATTCAAAGTATCCGTAAATTCTCTATGCAGCGGAGACCCAGACCGCCGGCTGAAGGTCAGAAATCTGTGTCCAAAAAATGTGATTTTTAAAAAATGCATTTAATCCTCCTCTTCCTTTTCAAAATAATATTGATAAACTCAAAATTTTCTTTACAATGTACCCAACCCTCTCATCTTAGCATCTTGATGGAAGAAACTAGGGCTATTTCTTCTGCTGGAGCCATTGAAGCTCTTCTGCTGGAGCCGTATGGAAGTCCAAAATAAATTCCAACTCTGTATGTCAAGAGGCAAAACCCATGTCTTCTGAAAGACAAAACTATGACAGTAAGCTCAGGGTATAATTGAGAGTTATAAAAATGAAAATAGTGTCGTATCAATTATCTACTGTTGCATAGCAGAATAATGCAAAATTTAGTAGCTTAAAACAAGAAGCATTTATTTAGCTTATGATTCTGAGTACTGGCAAGTTGGTCTGAACTAATCTAGGTAGTTCTTCTGTTGGTCTTTCCTGGACTTTCTCAAGCATTTGTGGTTGGCTACCCATGAGCAGAGTGGTTCTTCTAGGGGTTGGCTGGCTGTGGTCTGGAATGAGAGGAGAGGTGAGGCCATACGGCTCTCATCATCCAGCAGGACAGCTTGGACTTACACACACAGTGAATCTTAGGGTTCAAAGAATGCAAGAATGGAACCCCATAAGACCTCTTTTCAGCCTAGGCTTAGAACTCACACAAGTTACTTCCTCCACAGTCTAGGTCAAAGCAAGTCACATGGTCATTACAGATTTAAAGGGAGAGGAGATAGACTACATGTCTCCGTGAGGGAAACTGCAAAGTATGGTGGCCACTTTTTCAATCTATCACAAAGGCTTTTTGAGCACCTTGGGAATGTAAAAGTTGGAAGAAAATACACATTCAGAATAACCAAAGGAAGACAATAGGCTCAATGACAGAAGCAGACTTCAGGAGATGTTTCTTGTAGTCCATCCTCTGGCCTTTCCTCTACCTTGAAAGTCTAGAAGTTCTGTGTTGTCAATGGCCCAGAGTTGATTCCACCAATTAAGGGTAACTAAGCAAATTTACCGGAGACTGGTGCCTACAAACTAAAAGGCCAATTGATTAATATTCAGTGAAAAACACAACTATCAAGCAAACTTGGCAGTCAAATCAGCTTCACTAGGGCATTTTCTTGTGGGCAAACCACAGAGAAGACAGTCATCAGAAAGGTCCTGTGATTGCCTGAATCACAGCTGGATAACTGAGACAGTTAATGGCTTCAGACTCTTAAAACCAGGAGTGTCTCCTCTATGGAAGTAATGGTCCATCGGGCAGACTAGACATTCATGTTGACTTTTCTGGGCAACCAATCTCCTGGAAAGTGTTAACTGGGCACTGACGATGTTTGCCTTAGTAGCTTTACATTTTCCTCACTACTTTTGCCCCACAAACCTTCTGACAGATATAATTTTTTGATTCATTGATATGATCGGTCAGGTTAGAATCCCATCTAATTGGTTAATCCCAAGATCTTTAAGCTGGCTTTATATATCTTTGCTTAAACCCATTATGTATGAGGTTTGCAGCTGAACTCTTAGCAGATATGTTCACTTCCGTGTTCTTGAGAAGCAACTCAGAGTTGTACCTGATATCTCCTGTATGAACCAAGATATTTTCAAGCCTCAACCCCACTGGAAACTTTCAAGCCAAAATCAAGATTCCAGGCTATTTGGTCCTTCATGTGGAAGCTCCTATGCAGAATGGCCAAGAGCTGTAACTTCAGGCAATGGCAGTAATTACCTACAATTTGAGTAGCACCCTCCTATTCCCAGGGAGATAATTGACCCTTTTGGGGCCAGAAATAAAATAATACTTCTTTTAGCTATTTATCAACTTTTTATGAGGAGTTATTAAATAGATAAAAGGAGAGAGTAATCTGTAATTGAACAAATAAAAATGCAAAAAAGGAACACTTGGTGGCTTTTTGAGTTCTCTGATGCCTGTAGAGGAATACATGGGAGCTAAGAAGACAGATAGATGATAGACGGATAGACAGACAGACACACAGACAGATAGACGATAGAGGAAAGAGAATGAGAGAAAGGAAGAATATCAGAAGGAAGAATAGAGGAAAAGAAGGAAGAAAAGAAGAAGGGAAGAAGAAAGGAAGAAAGGAAGTGGGGAGGGAAAGATCAGGGTTTCTCCACACATGCACTATTGACGTTTGGATTTTGCTATGGGGAGCTGTCCTATGCATTGTAGGATCCTTAACAGCAACCTTAGCTACTAGATGCCAGTAGTATTCCACCCCCATCACATACACACACACACCCCCTTCTTGTGTCAGTCTAACAACCAAAAGTGTATTCAGGCATTGCCAAATGTTCTCTGGAGGGTAAAATCACTTGTAGAGACTTGGATGAATCTGGAAACCATCATTCTCAGCAAACTGACCCAAGAACAGAAAGCCAAGCACCGTGTGTTCTCACTCATAGGTGAATGTTGAACAACGAGACCACGTGAACTCAGGGAGAGGAGCATCACACACAGGGGACAGTTGTGGGGGTAGGGGAGAGACAATGGGGGGTGGGGAGGGTGGGGAGGGATAACATGGGGAGAAATGCCAGATATAGTGCACCTAAAGTAAAATAAATAAATTATTTTTTTAAAAAGTATTTAAAAAAAAAAAACTACTGGTATGGTACATCAAACTTATTATACATTAGAGTCACCTGGGAGCCTTGTTAAACCCTCAAGGACCTATAAAAATGTTTCAATTTTTTTTTAAATCAGAAGAGAATGGACATGTAAGATTAACTAAAATATTCTAATTTTTTTTCTTGTATCAGAAACTAATGAACTTTTTAGAGCCCATGAAAATCTGTTGTGTTGAGGGGCCCATGAAAGCAAAAGTGCCTAGGGCCAATGAAAGTCACACTGTGTTCCTATCCCAAACGTCACATCATCTCATCAGAAAATATTTCAGTATGTATTGCTAACAGATAATAAATCCTTCCATGATTAAAACTACACAACATTCTTCTTAAGAACACTATGCTTCCTAATGCCATCAAATATTCTGTCATTATTTATATTTGCCAGAGCCTCTCATTTATTAAACAATTGTTTCTATTTGTTTGTTTTTAAATGAAGATTTAAACAAGGTCTAAGCACTGTATTTGACTGAGATGTCTCTGAAACCTCCTTTAATTAGTTCATTCTCGCTCCCTCTTTTTTTTCCCCTTGTAATTTACTTAGCGAAGAAATCAGGCTGGTTTGTCCCAATAGCATTTCTCACTTTCCATGTTTCCTATAACTGGGTATTTGGAACTTGATGAGATTTCAGGGTCTGTTTTCTGGCAAAAAATGCCCCAGTATTATTAAAAATTTATGAATTTTTGATATATGTGAGTGTTTCTATCTATTTCAGTTATTATAATTCCTTTGCAATCTTAAGTTGTCCCATATTTGGCCAACAAAAACTTTTTTCAGGTTGGCTGTTGAATTATTTTAATATAAACAGTAATGTTTAATAACATCCTTGCTTTCTGAAATGAATTTTTAAACTAAATCAATTTTACAGTTCTTTTTCTTTATTACATATATATTTCTATGGATGCAGAGCCATATTTTAATGTCTCTTGAAATCATCCCTCTCCATTGTTAGACCTCTAGCCCATGGAATAGTCAGGTTCATTTGTTTTACTTTGTTTTCAATTTTTAGATTTTATTTTCAAATTTAATTTTATCTTATATTAAAGGTTTATATGGTTCCAAAGTTAAAACTGCAAAACAGGGTATATTCACAAAAGATTAGCTACCATTCCTGTCTCTTCCACCTGTTACCCTCATTTTGCAGAATATTTTGTATGTTACATTATGTAGCATACTTTAATACCTGGTAGAGCTAGCCATACCCACCTCTGTATTCTTTGCCTTTTTAAGGGTTTTCTTGGATATTTTACCTGTTTTTTTCATTTAGCTTTATAAACAACTTACTTAATACCAGAAAAAGAAAACCCAAAACTTGATAATATTTTATTGAGATTGCATTTAACTTGTGAATTAGGCAGAATTTTCTCTTTATAATATTGAGTCTTCCTATCCTAGAGTGTGGCATGTATTTTCATTCATTTAAGTCTCCTTCTGTGTTTTGCAGGAGCGCTTAATGTTTTTTCTCTTTTTTCTATGTACCTATTAGAACTTCTGATTATTGTTTGTATATATGAGGGTCATCACATTTTTTCTTAAACTAATATTTTTAAGTTCTCTTATTGTTTATAATAATTTCCCCATTAACTTTGTTTTTTTCTTTTCCTTTTTTTTTTTTTTTTTTT